CAGCAGACTTCACTGATTCACAAACGGAACACATATGTTTTGAGTTCCCAGCCTCAAACTGTCTTCAGTGCCTCCTATTTTATAGGGAAAATAGAACACATCAGAAGAGCTTTCTATCTTAGCACCCATTCTTTCCTGCTCTCCTATTATGATAATGAAAGCACTGCTCTTGCTCTGATCTAGGCTAACTCTTCTATCTTTGCTCTAGAGGTCCCATTCCCATCCCATTGGTCCCAGTGTCTTCAGCTTCTGGGTCACCCCTAATGTCTTCCCATCACTATTTAAATATACTCATGTCTACAGTTACACCCATGTGGCTTTCCTCCAAACTCCTATCCCCTCCAGCTCTCTCTCCTCCCTGTCCCAATCATACTTCCCAACAGAGTTGTGCACATTCACTGTCTTCAGTTCTTCCTCACTTCTAAATCCCTGGTCCATTCATTTCACTCAAGTCTTTCCAGATAAACTCACCAATGACCTGCTGGTTGATAAACTCAATAGATATTTTTCAGTCATCTTTCTTGACATTACTGATCACTTTCTCCTTCTAGAAACACACTTCCTTCTGGCTTTGTTTTCCAAGTGAAGACTAACATCTTGCCTCACTCTTAACAGATCTGCCTTGCACTTTAGTAATAAAATAGATCTCATCTTCCTCTGATAGCTCCTACCCTTTCTCATATTCATTCTGGCCCAAGCTTCTTGAAAGAGTAGTCTCAACTTTCTCTCTTCTCATTATACTTTAGTCTTTACCAGCTTACTCTCTTGCAGCAAAAGATACTGTCAACCGTTTCTGTTCTTGAAAAACTCTATCACTTTGGCTTACTTTTTTAAAAAAAGCATCCACTTTGTGTTTCTCATTCTCTGGCCTCTTCTCTATGTCTCTTGCCACTTTTTCACCTTCCATTGCCTTATTTGTTAGTAGTTTCCCAGCACTAGGGACAATGATGACTATGAGAGTGCATTTCCCTTAGGGTTGTTTTGAGCATTTAATGAAATAACACAGCTATGACTCAGTTTTAGCTGATTGGTTCCTTGGAGAAGTTGAGTTTAACGTTGTTAACTTCTTGATTTTTTTTTCAACAGAACCCAGAATTCTATTTGAAATATTTTGATTTTTAAGGTTAGTAATAAGTTTGAAAAGAAAGTGCATATGTTGAAAAACATGCCCGAACTCACCCAGATGGCCATCAGTTTGCAATCACTCATGTAGGGTATTTGGATAGCAGTCAATGATTCTTGTGTGCATCTTGGGGTTTGCAAGGACTATTTCTGGGGATTCATCTTGATTGTACTCCGAGTGCCTGGCACAGTATCCTGCACATAAATATACATCGAATGAAAGAGTTTCAGGAACATCTTTTTATTTTTTTAATTAACAAACAGGGTCTCACTATGTCACTCAGGCTCAAGTGCAGTGGTACAATCATAGTTCACTGTAACCTTAAACTCCTGGGCTCAAGCGATCCCCCTGCCTCATCCTCCTGAGTAGCTGGGACTACAAGCATGTGCCACCACACCCTACTAATTTTTTTTTTATTTTTTGTAGAGACAGGGTCTCGAACTCCTGGCCTCAAACAATTCTCCCTCCTGAATCTCCTAAAGTGCTGAGATTATAGGCATGAGTCACTGTACCTGGCCCAAACATTTCCTTTTATAGTTAAATTTCTTCACTGTTATTTAATCTAATGGTTGGCAAAACATTTTGGTTTCATTCTTAGTTTCTGCTAAAGGTCTGCTATTGGCATTTCCCAGCTGTTAAGTGTTGCTATTCCTAGTAGTTTGCTTTAAGATTTGTTTCGAAATATTCTGGATACTTCCTGCTTTTGTCAGACATAGGTCATCACACTCCCTTAACTGTCTTATCACTTTTGTTTTCTGGCACCACCCTTTTCTACAACATAACATTCCTAGTGCATGGAAAATAGTTTCACAGTCAAAGGGATAGTCCAGAATTGTTTCTTTCCCATCAAAGTATCTTCCTTAAATTGTACAGCATAATAATGGAGATGAAGATGGTTTTTTCTAATATTGCATCCATTCTTTCAAAGGTAAGACATTGAAAAAAATTCATTGAGAGCATACTTGTGTGCCTGGCATAAAGAAGAAAAGACAAAATACGATCTTTTATTTCAAGGCAAGTAAAACAGATGGTAATAGTATAATATAATATGTGCTATAAAGAGAAAGAAATACACACAGGAGAGGCAGTTGGCCACGTGGCTAGGAACACAGGTTCTGAAGCAGACTTCCCATGTTCCAAGCTTGGCACGACTACTTACTAGCTGTTTGAGCATATTACTTAATATCCTTGTGGCTTGGTTTTCTCATCTATAAAATGGGGTAGTAAAAGAAGCTACCTCATAGATTATAGAGATATAAGTAAATTAATGTGTGCAAAATGCTTAGAATAGTGTCTGGCATTAAGCAAGCAATCAATAAATGTTACCTACAGTAGATGCCCCACGTGTATGGTTGGTGTGTGGCGGTAGCTAGGTAAGGAGAAATGAAGTCAGGAACTGATTTTTCTAATAATTATTGATTCAAGTCTGGGAGATTTATTTCCTCAACAAATATTTACTGGGCATTTACTATGCACCAAGTATTAGATATTTAAGTGTAAAGTAATAGGGGTTGGAAATATAAAAGGAAAAGTTCCCACATAATGCAAACAGCAGGTTCAAAGTCACAAGGATGTGAGATGGCAAGGCGAGTTCTTGGAAGGGGAGTTCTTGGTGAATTCAATGTGACAGGTAATAGGGTGAGAGTTGAAGCAGCGCAATAAATGACAAGAGAAACAAGTGGAGGCAAGGGTGTCTGTTTATAGGCAGCCTTGCATATACATCATACTATGGCATTTGAAATTTATCCTGTAAACACAAGGCGCCAAAGAAGGGTTTAATCAGGGGAGTGATGTGATCAAATTTGTGTTCTTAAAACATGAGTCTGGTGATAATATTAATCTGAGCAAAGTCAGTTTTCTTTAGGTATGGGACAGTTTTCTGTGGAAACCAAAACTAATGGGTATTGAAGTAAAAGCACTTAAAAATTAAGAAGTAAAAGTGAGTTTTCCAAATATGCAGTGAAATACCACTTTGATTTGGAACATGCAGTATTGATCACAAAAAGAAACATGTGAAAAAAAGATCACAAAAGGAAACATGGGGCACTCTGAGTGGAACAAGCAACTCTACCAGTCTGGCCCTTCTAAGACCTATCTCATAACCCTTGTGTGCCTCCTTAATTCCTTTAGCAAATGAACATTTATTGCACCAGACACTGCTTCAAGTGCTTGGTATACAACAAAGAACAACAACAACAACAAACCCACAAAAGATTCCTGCCCTCTGGAAGCTTGCATTTCTCTGAGATATAGATAATAAACACTAAACATACTAAGTAAATTACATGATATATTAGAAGGAGATTAAGTGCTATCGAAATAAAACAGAGTAAGGAAAATTGGGACCGTGCATTTATGATAGGAACTAAAAGAGGCTAACAAGTTGTAAGTGGATGATTTCAGCAAGGAATGAAAGGAACTGCAAAGTCCTCTGCAGTGTACAATTCATGACAAACTCTATGCTGGGGGCAAAGTCCTGTCGCTGCACATGGGCCTCCGCTGCAAAAAGAGAGTCACCAGGAAAAACTGTGTATGTATATGCATACATACACAAACACAATAATAGATGATTTATAAATCATAGATGTGACTTATACGTGTGTGTGATTTATAAAGCCTATGTAAGCCTACTTTAAACAATATGATGTGGACAAGGCTTAAAACGGGCTGGAACATTTTCCCCCTATTATTTCCACAATAAACAATTCCTGGGCATGGTGGTGATGATGTGTGCGCGCGCGAGTGTGTGTTGGACAGCATGCCTTCCTCGGAACAGAGCCGGCCAGAGCCCTGTTCTTCTACAACCTGTCCTATTAACAGCCTAACCAGGCAGGAACCTCGATTTTTTTCTTCTTACCACAAAAGCAAACCAAACCCCTTCCACAACCTAGTATCATAGCGCGGTGTCCTTCCTCACTAACCCACCATTGCTTCTCTAGTCCTGACTCCAAGGGAAGAATGCCATCTACCGAATCATCCGTACCAATCAAGCAGCCCTGCAAAGTGCAGCAACACTCAGCTCAACGCCGGTCAGCTCCAAATCCCCTGCCTCTGATTATTCTCTGGCCTTTAAAATATTTTTGCCACTATTTGGGCTGACAGGAAGTTATGCTCTCGACCCAGATATCTGATAAACACTTCCACATATTGTAGCCTTCTCAATAGCTTAGCCAAATTTCGGCGTCCTCGCTCAGTCTGCATTTTCCTTCATTGCGCTTTCACGTTTGGAATGCCCCCGTCTCTGCAGCCTGCAGACAGCGGAAACCGCGGGTGCAAACGTGCAGGGGCCGCTGACACGACCGGCTGCTGAAGCCCACTCAGGGTTAGACAGGCTAGCGTTGGGGATTGCACAAGAGGTCAGGCGATGCTGTGGGCTTCCAAATTTGTACAGCCGCGACACTCTGCGACGTGCCACCCTATCCCGAGGCCTCAGGACTGTGGGTGGGGCGGGGAATACCCTCCGCAGTCCCCTGAAAGCGAGGCAGGAATCACTACAACTCCTCTGCTTAGGCTGAGGTCGCCACCGCTCCGTGGATGCAGGCGCTGCAGCGGCGCCTTCCGCCGCCGCGGGCACGGCGTGGCGCGGGAAGGGATGGGGTCGGGTGGGAGTGGGCAGGTGGCGGTAGAGGCGCGTGTCCGTGCACTGGAGGCCCCGGTGCGTGACACAGGCCGGTGAGCTCCTGCGGGCTGCACCCACGCGAAGTCACAGACCGAGAAGGTCAGCCCGCGGTCGGTGCGCTAACCTATGTAGAGAAACGCCCGCCAGGCGCGCCGCAGGCTGGGACGAGGCGACTGGGGCCCAGGCTGGAGGAGGGCTGAGGAGGGTTGCGGGGGCGGGCCCCGGCGCTGGGCGCCCAGAGCGGAGGGGGCGGGCCCGAGGCGGGGCGGGCCGCGGCGCTGACTGGCTGTCGATGCTGCACTAGCCTCCAGCCCGCGGTGCCGAGCGCAGGCGGAGGTACATGGCCCCGACGGGAGGCGCGCGGCCGGCACCCCGAGCTCCGCTCCCCGCCTGAGCTCGGCAGCCGCGCCTCGGCCCGCGCGTCCTCGCCCCTCCGGCCGGCCGCCCGCGGACATGATCGTGTAGCCTCCTCCTGGGCTGGGATTTGTTTGAAGATTTTCTTCATGGAAGCGATGTCCCCCCAGCAGGAGACTCTAGGGGGACAGCCGGGGCGCTCCTCTTCCCTGACAGGAGTGTCTCGGCTCGCGGGAGGCAGCGGCACCAAGAAGGTGAGGACGCTGAGCGGGGGCCCGTGCCCTCCGCCGCCGCAGCCCCCACTCCCGGCGCGCGCCCTCCGCGCGCGTCACAGTAGCGCGCTAGGCGGACGCCGCGAGGATTCGACGTTCGAGGCTCGCGGCCCCTAACGGGAGTCCCAGGACACTTCCCGCCCTTGACGGCCGGCCGCGCCGCCACCTCCCGCGGAGCGCCCGCTTCTCCGTTTCTAGAGCCTTAATCTTTCCCCGAGCGACCCCGCAGCCTCCCTCCCGTCTCCATCCGCCGCCGGATCGGCAGCCCGGCTCCTCCCTCAGTCGCGCGCGGGCTGGAGTGGGCGATCGCCTCTCCCCGACCCCTCGCCGTGTCCCTGGGCCCCCCGAAGTGGCCTGGGCGAGCACTGCCCTTTGGCGGGGTCAGCCCCGAAGTCAGGCCCGGCGATGTCTGCCCGGGAGCGGCAGCCGGCGCTGAAGAAGGTAGGCGGCGGGGCTGCGGCGCTAGTGGGGTCGGCCCCCTCACCTGCCCGCCGAGGCGCGGCTGCTCCATGGCAGTTTTCGGGGGGCAGATATAGGGGGGTACTGCGCCCCACACTAGGATCCTGGATGATTCCAGGTCTCCGAGGTGGGGGTCACAGTTGGAGGGGAGACTGTGGATGCTAACGGTCGACTCTACGGTGACAAGTAGGTTTGGCTGGGCCTAGAACTGGGCAGGGTGGGGGCGGGGGGGCTGTGGTTGGGGGTCCTGAGGGCTGAGACGGGGGCCTTCTCCCTGCGCTGGTCCGCTGGCCCCTGGGACTCTGGCCGGACTGGAGAGGGGTCCAGGTGTCGGTGTGGGCGTGGGGGCAGCGCGTGTTCCCTGTCAAAGCTGGGAGATGGATGCAGGTGACAACTTGTAGCGTTCCATTCCAATAAACACAGCCGCGGTGCTGCGGGAGGATTCCGATCCGGGTCAGGTTTCGTTGGAACGGTTCCCTTAGCAAGTGCACGTGGGCCGCGGGCTGCCAGCCTCGGCCGTTCCGCTCCCTGAGGAATTGATTTGGGTGTTTCTAGCCCTGTCTATCCCCCGCCTCCCCACCCCCGCCCCCAGTATAAGACGTTCTGATATTTGGCCATTTTTTTCCTTGTCTTAGTGGTGCACTTCCAGCTTTTCTGGAAACAAGTGGCGATTAGAGGCATCTTCTAGCTTTTCCTTAAGAAATATCTTAAGGGATTGCATTTGTTTCATTAGAGACTTAAAGGGGTTACGCAGGTTCCCTGCTTGTCTTATTTTACTGCCTTTCCTAAATCTTCCCACCAGGATCTTGGGTTGGCTAGAGGTCAGTTGAAGAGAGGTGATCGGTGTGCCGAGTATAGAAATGTGTGGGAGTTCCCAAGGACCTTGACCGTGTCACGGAGCCATCGAGGGGGTGTCCGTGAACTTGATGATGTATGGGCTGTAGTGCCCGCTTAGCCTTTGATGTATTGAGGCTGCGGTTTGTCCTTGTCGCTTTTCCCCTTCAGAGGTGGAGGGAGTGTGTGTGTGTAGTCAAGTCTTCCCAAATAAAACGTGAATTTATCAGGCTAGCCCTACATTTACTGACATAAATTTTAAAACTTAAAACATTTTCTTTTTGTAAACGTAAGGAATTGGAAGAAAATCAAAGATTTATTTTTCTCAACAGTTTTCTTTTTCTTTTCTTTTTTTTTTTTTTTTTTTTTTTAGCTAAGGGTAACACAGCCAAAGGGAGGAAGCATTAGAGAGGAACTTCATTATCATTTATCAAGTAATGCTTGTCCAGTAAATGCAGGGTTGCTTCACTCTTTTCTCACGTTCTTTTTACTCATCGTAGTCACTATCCTTGAGATGCCGTCATTTGTTACGAAGCAACAGCTTCACACATTAACAAACCAGTACCTACCTTTCCAACATCATTGGGAAAAGTAAATGTGAAATTCAGTAAATAATGACATATAAAAGACACTTAATAAATGTTAACACTTAGTGTTTGCAATATCCCTATATCTGTAATTCATACCTTTGTGTCCCAGTTGTTCAAGCCAAAAATCTAGGATTCATTTTCAACTCATTTCCTCTCTCTGCACCAACCAATCCATCAGGGAAGCTACTGTCAATCCGAATGTGCATTGACTTTCTCCACTTCATCTCCACTGTTGCCAGTGTAGTCCAAGCCAAGCCGCCATCTCTCACTTGTACCTTTGCAGAAATGTCTTAACTTGCCTAACACCTTTCTTGCCCTTTTTTGATCCAGTCACCACTTAGCACCAGAATAATCTTTTATAATGTAAATTAATCATGTTGCTCACGTGCTTAAAATCCTGCAGTGACTTTTCATCCATTTGTAATAAAATTCAGACCCCTTTTTCTTGGCCCTGTCTACTTCTCCCACCTCATCTACGCGTCCCCCCTTGTTTGTGTATTCTCCAACCACACGGGCCTTCTTCCTCTTCATGTTTCAAGTCATCAAATTCATTCTTATTTTGAGGCCTTGATGGTGTTTCTCTGTGCTTCAGCCCCAGGTCTTTGCAGTCTTGACTTTCATATTGTTGTAGATTGTAGGTGCTAGCAGAGGCCTGCCATTGACTCCCTAAGTGGAAGTTGCTCCTCAGTCATTCTGTATGCCTTCTGCTTTATTATCATCTTAGCGTTCATCCTTGCCTGATATTTTCTTATTTACTTGCTTTTCATCTGTTACCCACATCCCTCACCAGATTGTGAAAACCATGATAATAGGGACCTTATCTGTATTGCTTAAGGCTGCCTCTCCAGTGCCTAGAATAGTGTCTGCTGTATATTAATTAGATTTTCCATAAATATTAGTTGGGTTATGTACAGCAGTGAACAGGACAGATGTGGCCCCTGGCCTCAGAATTTATGGCTCAGAGCAGGGTCAACAAACCTTTATTTAAAGGACCAGATACTAAATATTTAAGGTTTGTAGGCCCTCTGTTACAGGCTACTCAGTTCTGCCATTATAGTGCTAAAGCAGCCATAGACAACGTAGAAATGAATGGACATAGCTGCGCTGTAATAAAACTTAGTTTGGAGAAACAAGTGGGAGTCTCTGTGGTGTAGTTTCCTCTCTCCTGACTGGGGAGAGTAGTGCCACTGAGTAGTACATTGTGTAATGATAGAACTCCTTTATCTACCGTGTCCAGTTCAGTAGCCACTAGCTACATGTAGCTATTGAGCTCTTGAAATGTGGCTGGCACGACTGAGAAACTAAAAATTTTTTAACAGCTTCACTGAAGTGTAACTGATATAGAATAAACTGCACATATTTAAAGTATATAAATTTAATAGTTTTGACATATATATACGCTAGTGAAACCATCTCCACAGTTTAGCTAAGGAACATATTCATCATCCCCCAATGTTTCCTTATGTCTCTTTCTAATTCCTTAATTCCCTCCCCATTCCCAGGCAACCACTAGTCTGTTTTCTGTCACTGTAGGTTAATTCACATTTCCAAAGATTATTTGTAAATATAATCATACATTATATTCTTTTTATGTCTGCCTTGTTTCATTCGGTACAATTACTTTGAGGTTTATCCATGGTTTTACGTGTATCTATAGTTCATTTTGTTGCTGAGCAGTATTCCATCATGTAAATAGACCACAATTTATCCATTCATCTGTTGATAGGCATTTGGATTATTTCCAGTTTTAGGCTATTACAAATAAAATTGCTGTGAACATTCATGTACAAGTCGTTGCATGGACTTCATTTTGGGGGGGTTAAATACTTAGGTGTGGAATGGCTGGATCATATTTAACATTTTAAGCATGTGTATATATGTGTGTGTGTGTGTATATATATATATAACATTTTAGGTATATATTTAACATTTTTAAGAATCTGTCCAATTGTTTTTTCCAAAGTGGTTTTATATTCCCCCTGGCAGTGCATATGAGTCCAGCTTCTCCCAATTTTCACCAACACTTATTATTATCTGCCTTTTTTTATTACAGTCATCCTAGTGGATGTAAAATGCTATCTAATGGTTTTGATTTGCGTTTCCTCAATGACCAGTGATGCTGAGCATCTTTTCATGTGCTTATTTGTCATCCATATGTTATCTTTGGTGAAGTATCCAAATATTTTGCCCAATTTTAATTGTGTTTTTTCCCAGTCTGTGACTTGTCTTTTTACTTTCTTAAGAGTGTCTTTCAAGAGAACAGAAGTTCTTATTTTTGGTGAAATACAGTTTGTCATTTTTTTTTTCTGTAAGCTTCTTAATTATGATCAACTTGAATTTAAATCTGAAGAGCCACATGTGTCTAGTGGCTACTGTATTGGACAGCACCAGTCAGAGGAAGAGACAAAAAAAATTAATAAATGGTGATAACTGTTATTAAAGGAACAAACATAACCCTGAATTAGACAAATGTGGTTGTTGAGCTAGATCATTCTGCATTAGAGTGTTCAGGGAAGGCCTTTTTAAAGTGTCCCTTAACTCTCTTAAGGCTTAAAAAGACCATGCCATAGAAAGAAGTGGGAGCATTAAGTTCAAAGGTCCTGAGGTAGATATGTTTGAGGAGCTAATATATAGATGCTGTAAATGAAGTCAGTCTCTTAATAGTATAGCCACATTTATTATTTTAATCTCAAGCAGAATTGCCCAGCTAGATCATTCACTTTTACTCACTACTCAGAGGATTTCATTGTTTCCAAAAATCAAATCCACTCTCAGAAGACAAAGATTTTTCTATCACTGAGGCACTTCCAAAGAATATGCAATAAATTTGTACAGTAATTCCTAAAAATTGGATTCTATAATAGCATATAGATAAAGCATAGATAATACTTTAAATTATTCTGGAATCATACATCCTTGAGGATATCCACATTTTCACAGAATAGTTTTAATGAAGTGGAAGCACATATTAGAATCATTTTAGGAATGATTTGTATCAGACTCAAATACTCTGACTTTTTGGTTTCATATACTAATTGAAAAATCTTTAAATAGGATAAGCGTTGGAATAGGGAAAAGAGACTTATAGGCCCAGAAAGCCAGACAAGGGAAAATAATTTTAAAATAGCTCTAACATTTTTAAATGTAGCAGCTGCTGTTGTAAACTTCATTCTGCCTTTTCTTTCTAATTCTCTGGGTCCAAATCTGTTTATAATACCTCATGGTAGAACAAGGGCGAACTTGGACCATGTGTGTGTCTTATACTGGGGCTCGAATTAAACATCTTAGTGAGTAAGCTTTAGTTTTACTCTTCAATACTGAGAAAAATATTATGCCCATAGTTAAACTAGTATCCTCTTCAATTCTTATCTGGTGTTACTCACAAAATGAGTTGCATAAAATCAGATACGTGAGATTGTTTTGGCAGGGAGGATCCTAGAATTATAAAAATAAAATTAGATTAATCAAGAATGGCCTCTGTTATCCCTCATGTGACCTCTGAACTTCCGATTGGGCTTTGTTTCTTTGTATGTAAAATGGGGTAATAACCCCAATCCT